TGGAAGGAAATCCTAGAGACTACAGGTACTACAGAAAACAGTAACTGTTATAGTTTATTTCAAATGTTGCTAGTGATAGCTTCAAACAACTGGAAGTCAAGATGAAGAAGAATGTACTTGTAAATCACCTCCTTTGATATAACAGGGAAGTCCAGGAGGTTTACAGCGGAACCTTCCCGGAGCTGCACGCTGACTCGTCTTGCCGGTGTCCACCGACCCACCCACGTATCAACCCGCTCCTGGAGCGGTACTGTATCCGGAACGGCGACCCTGACAATACAGCGAACATCCAGCTGAGGCTGGACGACGATGCCCACCCCCTGGCTTACATCAACGATGACGATCTCAGCTCGAGATGGGTTTCAGACTTCTTCTCCAGCATTCCAGGCGACACAGTAACCATTGACATTGATCTTTCTAATGGACAGTATGAGGTGAGTATGAATGTTACAGTAACTGTTCTTTTTGTCTACGTTGGCACAGCATTCAGTGCACATATTTGGCACTGAGGACTCTTATTTTATAGTGTTTTCATGATTTAGTGAAGATGGTAAACGAACAAACTTTAAGTTAGCTAGAAGCTTCGTGATCAAACATTATGAAAAGGTAGTTGTACTTTTAAATTTTATAATCTACATTCATAATTTTTATCATTATTAAAGTAACAGTATTACAGTATGTAGTAATCATTGTTTTCATCAACCTTTTCATTTTTAATGTTTTTCAGGTTTACTACGTCATTGTGAACTTCTACAACCCACAACCCAAGTATGTGACGATCCGGAGGAAAAAGACAGACACGTCACCTTGGGAGGACTGGCAGTTCTATGCTGAAGACTGTGCACAGTTTGGACTAAGCAACAATGGAGAACTGAGCAATCCAGCCTCTGTCAACTGTCTACAGTTTCCAAGGTAGCACCATTTCAACATGTTGGTATGCAATAATGGTGATAACAGTTTTGGAATAAGAGTCTATGTAGTGATAATATGTTGGATGTAGGTAAAGCTTAATATAATAATATATGCTCCTTTATGGACACACGTCAGATATTCTTCTAAACAAAGCCATGTTGTTAGCTAAATATTACATCTTTAAATATATTGTACGAAACGAACCTTTTAGATTACAAAATGACTGCGCCAACATTTAGAACAATTGATGTAACGAGGGGTAAGCCATAACACACCATATATTTGTATGTATATCTGTATGTAAAATTTTGAAATAAACGATTAAAAAAATATATATATATATATGCTCCTTTTGTTTAGTACATACATTGTACTAACTACCTGCACAATCATGTTATGTCTTCAGCAACCCAGCCAACAATGATGCAAACATCACCTTCTCCCTGCTGTCAGCTGCACCCATCGAGCGACCAGGCTACAACGCCTACTACAACACACCTGAACTCATGGAGTTTGTAAAGGCCACACAAGTAAGGGGGAGGCCATGGAAATGTAGAGAAAGTGATTGGATATGACCATGTTTCATGGTGACATCTGTTTTCCTTAAACATGGCATTGATTATTGGAAAGTTGAAATTTTCAAGAAATTCATGTAGTTGAGGGAATATCAAAGAACCAAAGGTTTAAAGAAATGGAAGCAGTTATGGTAGAGGTTGAATCAGATAATTATTTATACACATCAGATGCAACTCTTGGAGAAGCTAAACTGGTGAATTTTCCCTCTTTTCAGGTAAGAGTGATCATGCAGGACCAGTACTATACAGGTGAAGCTCAGGTCAATGCTCGAGCCAAGTTCTATGGGCTATCTGGCATCACAGTTTCTGGAAGGTATGACAAAAATACTAGTACATTTGATTTAACAGTTATTTAATTATATCATTATACAGAGGCACCACAATATGTCATATGTTGTAGCATTTTAGTTGGCAAATTTCATCCCAGCATAGTGTAACCTGTATCTTCATGTGGAATTTGTCAACTACAGACAAACGTTTTCACAATAGATGTCTTGCTCTTGTCTTTAATGTTGTCTTCTGAAATATATTGGACATGGAATCTGAATATACCTGTATGATGTACCCCCAGGTGTATTTGCTATGGACATGCTTCATCATGTGACATGGAGCAGGACACTTACGTGTGCCGCTGTCTGGAAACCAGCTTCACACAAGGAAACAATGTAAGAACCTTCCATTTCATTTAGTACATGCAGTAGGGTGTGTTCATGGCCAGTTAATTTTGACTAAGCAGCTCTTTCAGCAGTTTGATCTGTTGAAGACTTTCAAAATTTCTCACAAAGCTTGTATTAGGTATTACCTACAGGTGGATCTTACACACAGGTTATGGGTTTTTAAAGTCTTTTTTGTTTGCAAGAAATCTTCTAACCTTACATATGTTCTATAATATTATGTACTACAGTGACTTGCCTATAACTATGTATTTCCTTTCAATCTCCACAGTGTGAGGAGTGCCAGCCGCTGTACAACGACAAGCCGTTCCGACACGGAGATAACCTGAACGCGTACAACTGCCGTCCCTGCCTGTGTCATGGCCATGCAGACAGCTGCCACTACAACGAGTCGGTGGACCCCTTCCCAAACAACCACTTATCGGTAACAATAATACTTAATATCTTTAATGGGATAAAGTATTTGGTCTGTTCTAAATGTTAGTTTTTGTTCTTAAAGTGAAAATCTGAAAATTGACCGATGTTATTATTAAGAGCTCAGTGATAAAGGGAGAGTAAAATTGTGCCAGAATTCACAATCAATCCCTTGTTACCCTGGTGACCTTTGTGATACAGTCCTTACCAGCATTACATATGATTATGTATAATTTATTTTCCTAGGGTGGAGGTGGTGTGTGTGATAACTGTCAACATAACACCATAGGGAGACAGTGTGACACGTGTGCTGATGAGTTCTACAGGGAGACAGGCAAGCCTCTGGATGCTGTGGATGTGTGCACACCATGTGACTGTAATGCTACTGGTGTGGATGATGACTCCTTGGTTTGTGACAAGGTAGGGAAAAGTCTTATAACTTTGTCAATGCAGTTGTGTTCTTAAAAGAATTTTCTGATTTCTTTGCTGGCATAATTTTATCCTTTGAAATTGGCATAATTGCAAAATTTGAATAACATTTTGCAGTGTATTTGGAGTAGGACATGCCTTTAATTTAAAAGCAAGTTATTAAATTTCAAGAAACAATCCAGAAATCATTGGGAAGATTCTTGACTGCAGCAAATAGTTACAAGTTATTTCCCTTTACAGCATCCTTCCACACAACAGATCTACAACATGGAAAACAATGAACAGCAACCAGATTAATTTTGATGGTCCTGCATGGTCAAGAAAACTACATGTATAATGTTTAATCCTGTACTTGTCTATGCAGGATGGAGGCCAGTGTGCCTGTAAGACCCAGGTGGAGGGTCGACGGTGTGACAGGTGCCGTGCAGGTTACTTTAACCTGACCGAGACCAACCCTGGCGGTTGTGAGGACTGCAGCTGTAGCCTGGCTGGTACAGAGGGTGGGGATATCACCTGTGGTGACACTGGACAGTGCAACTGCAAGGCTAATGTCATCAGTAAGTTTCAAGTGCTATTTCTGTACACATATTGCCTGATGCCTGTGCAAACTTGGTGGTATGACCAGCAATATGTGTTTCCAGGCTCGTATTTCTAATGCTTGAGGCAAATGAATACAATCAGGAAATATTTGCTTAATATAAAAAAATATATTTGAGATTGCTTTAAGTGGGCTCTGTGCAGGCTGTTCTGTTGTGTTCTTTAACCAATGCTTTGTGTACTTCTGTGGAATTTTATTGAACAAAGATCTTACAGCTGTTTTTGTCTCCTGTAGATCTTAAGTGCGACCGCTGTAACTACGGCTACAAGCTCCTGACTGCCAGTAACCCTAACGGGTGCGAGCCCTGCCAGTGTAACACTTACGGCTCCACCAGTCAGTTCTGTAACCCAGACACAGGCCAGTGCCAGTGCAAGACTAATGTGGAAGGTGTCCTCTGTGACACCTGTGTGGATGACTACTATGGGCTGGATGGTAGCGGGTGTAAAGCATGTGTTTGTAATGCTGATGGTACTGAAACAGGGACCTTCTGTAACAAGACATCCGGGCAGTGTGTGTGTAAGGCTTATGTTCAGGGCCACACTTGTGATGAGTGCAGGGATGGGTTCTATAGCCTGGGTGCCAGTCCTGCCCTGGGATGTGTTCCATGCACCTGTACAACCGCTGGTACAGTTGGCAGCACGACTGTCTGCAACAAGACTAATGGAGTGTGTCCGTGTAAGACGTTTGTGAGTGGAGACAACTGTAACCAGTGTCAGGAGAACTACTGGGGTCTGGACCAGGCTAACCCTGATGGCTGCCAGCCCTGCAGCTGTGACCCCACAGGAACAGTGGCAGGTACAGCATGTAACCAGGCCACTGGCCAGTGCACCTGTCTAGCAAACAGGGAGGGTCGCAGGTGCGACACCTGTTCAGCAGGTAAGGAAGTACAACATGAGTACGGCATTTTGCATGAATATTGCGATGGGTCATGTTTGTCATTCCAGTGTGCAAGCAATGCCAGTGGCAAGACTGCAAAATATAATAAAGAAGTTAAATCCAATGTTTGTCATTTGAAGTAAATTAACAGAAAATGTCTTTTTTAAGTATTCTGTTTTCTACTTACAGAATTGTACAAACATCTTTGAGCAGAAAAAGGATTTGATATCCATGATTGTGTTTAATTCTAGAGATAACTGATCATCAGATACAGATATTATATTAAAGGAATTGTGACTGCAACAGTTAACATTTGCTGTTTTGTTTCAGGATATTACGTGGCGCCCAACGGTGGAAATGGTTGTCTGGAGTGTAACTGCAACGCTGCAGGGACCCAGGCTGGAACAGTCTGTGATGCAGACACTGGGCAGTGTCAGTGCAAGCTCAACTCCGGGGTGGGGGGCCGGGCTTGTGATGAGTGCCTGCCTGAATATTTTAACTTTGATCCTGGCTCTGGCAGGTGGGCAGTCAATTCAAAGCTTTTGGATAATCTCCACAGATATTGTTTTGTAGTAGACTCTATTACAGCATACATGCACTTCCTGCAGTGCCAATAACTTACACTCTTGACACATTGTTTGTAGTAGAGTTAGAACAATATACAGTCATACTTTATCTTTTTTAGGGCCCTCAGTGGATTAAAATCATGTATTGTTGTACAACATACAACATGTATTGCATGTCACTGACTTCTCTGAAAGTTTGAAATTGAGTCTTACCTTTTCTCCCACAGCTGCTCCCCGTGTGGTTGTGACCCAGCAGGGAGTACCAACACCTCCTGTAACCCTAACACTGGACAGTGTGAGTGTAAGCAGTTTGTGGAGGGGGACAAATGTGACACCTGTGTGGCTGGATCCAGCAACCTTCAGGAGAGCAACCCATTTGGCTGCAGCAAAGGTAGCAGATCTCTTCTTATGAGGGTGGGGGTGGGTCACATACCCTTGAAGAATACTGCTACAGTTTGGAAAAGGACAAATTGCAATTGTTTTGGTATACCATTGTGGAGGGAAAAGATGTAAGTTATTACATGTATTTCATTTTGCTTCAGCTTTAATGAGTTGGACAATCTACGAAACATTATGCCTATTACTGATTAATTCATGTAGTGAGGTAATTGATAGTATGTTCATCATGTCCATGGCAGCTCCATCACAGATGCCACAGCCAGTGGGAACTCCCTCTGCATCCACAGTCATCACCCTGAGATGGGAGCCACCAGACTTCCCCAATGGGAACTACCTTCAGTACTATCTCTACAGGGACAACCAGCAAATCTACTCTGTCAACGACACTCTGCCATTTGGTAGGTTCTAGCTGTATCATTTTTTCATGCCAATTAGATATGTTATCCGGATTGCAGATGTTATTGCATAAACTTGACATTATCCATAGGGATTTATTTGGCAGTTCTGTTCTGCAAAGAAAGACATGGTTCTTGACACTGAAACTGCAGAAATTTCAAATTTTGAAGTGTTGTGGAAACATACAAGAAATAGAAGTTCAATACAAGCTATTTCTAATGTCTGTTTTATTGTTCATCCACACATTAGAATATGTTTCAGTGACAGTCCTAATTATCTGTATGTTATATTTTGCAAATAGACATAACCATGACAAATGGAGCATAGTTTTACAAATTAGAGCCATAGATGTAAAGAGGCAGAAGAAGTGTGTGAGCTGAGTAGGCAGTTGTCTTCCCAGCCATACAAAGTAGATATTGGCATATATATTTTGCTTGACTAAGATATCCCTGTTGACTCTGCCTGCAGACACCCAAGAGTATGAGGACACTGCCCTGACCCCGTTCACCCAGTACACGTACTACGTACGGGCGACCAACTCTGATGGCCATGCCGACAGCCCAACCATCGCAGTACAGACACTATCAGGGATACCCACAGGGGATGCTGTTCTGGAGGTCAGCCAAATACAGGTGAGAGGCATGTCTTAGATCTGATCCTCCTGAATCTGGTGTTTCTTGAAATTGCCTCCTTCACAACGGTAAGGTTCAATTATGGAAATAACGTTCAATTCCATTGCTATGCAGTTTTAATGTTTTTAGACAGGCTAATCTCACTAGTTTCAGGAAAACATCTAAGACAATGTACATGGTCTAGCTGTCTCAGTAAGTCAGATATTGTATATAAGTATCTTCAGACTCACAAGAAGAAGGACAGGATTTTCAGCACCAAGGACATCACCATTATAGAATGGAACTTTCTGGGTTATACATGTATATATCCTGATTCTCCTTCATAGAGAATCTTATTACTAACAGTTTAGAGAAATCTGGGGGAAGAACTGTGATAGCAGTTGTTAGTTTCATGTTTTTCTATGTATGAAGTAAAATTAGGTGTTTCAAAACTGTTTTAAGAAATGCAACATCACGGTCCACTACAAGATAGACAGATCTATATTTGATGATACTAAAATTTTGTTGTTATAAAAGTCTGTTTTCAAGACTATAAGTCAATGTAATGCTATACATTTGACAGGCAACAAGTGCATTCTTCCGTTGGCAACCACCATCCAATGCCAATGGTCCTATCAACAACTATGTGCTGACCTCGGTGACCCCAAGCCGCCCCACCCCCAACTCTCACTACACCGGCCTAGCAACAGAACAGCTGATCACAGACCTCATCCCCTTCACTAACTACACCTTCACCCTGGAGGCCTGCACTAGTGGGGGATGTGGGGTCAGCGACCCTGTGGTGTTTACCACCTTCCAGGCAGCACCTGAGGGTCAGGGTGCGCCCACCATCACTGCTCTGTCTCCTACTGAGCTGTACATAGACTGGGACTATCCTCTTCAACCCAATGGTAAGACAGTCTTTTTTTATGTATTCTCTAATGTATGTGGCAATATTGTATTAGAATTTGCATGACAACCACTATTCTTCCTTGTTCTGTTGTATGTGTGTATCCCCATTGACACTTTCTAACAAATGCCATGATAGGTAAATAGAAACTTCATTCATCTTTTGTTAGAAACTTAATACCACCACAACATAAAATAAGTCTACATCCCTTATCTTTTACTTCAGGCATCATCATCAGGAATGAGCTATGGATGCGAGGAAAGCCTAATTCCCAGGGAGTTCATATCCCTCCAGCCAACCTCATCTTTGAGTCTGTGGGTTTTTACAACCCCCGACCAGTCCAAACTGCAAATGAGAATGCACTTCCTCCTCCAGAAACAAACTACACAAAGGTTAGTGAATCAAACTAACATCTTACTTGTGAAACTTACAAATATGCAAAGATGTACTATATAATCCTGTATGTCAAATAGATAACTGGCATAAATTTATGGATGATCAACATGATTTTAAATTGAGTTCTTTGCAACAACTGGACTATATAATGTCTCTCCCTTTCCCTAGGATTATATGCTGTATATGCATCAGAGGTCAAACGTATGTTTGTCTACAGCGTTGTTATTAGTTGCTCTAACACAGTCTGCCCATTTCCAGGAGGGTCTGTCTCCCTACACAGAGTATGAGTTCCAGGTGCGTTCCCAGAACCAGGCTCTGCAGCAGAACACAGACACTAGTCCCTGGGTCACAGGAAGGACAGCTGAAGCAGGTAGGACTCACATTTCTTTAGAAGTGCATTATGAATGTTTTTGTGTCAGTCACTGAAATTCATGTACTACTTGTTTGATGGTATCACTACGTGTGGTAAAGTTAAATTGGTCAACATGAAAACATTTCCCACCTGTTTCAGCCCCCCTCTCAATGACAACCCCGACAGTGGTGGGTGTTTCCTCTTCGGAGGTGAATGTGACCTGGCAGGAACCAGACGTGACCCAGGCCAGGGGGGAGATCCTGCGGTATGAGGTCTACATTGTGCGCACGTCAACAGATCCGTTTGCACCTCCAGATCAAGCTGAGGTAAGCATTGCTAGTAGTTACCAACCGATTCTTATTTTAAGGACAAATACGAGTAAGTTTTTTCATATACCTCTATTCTTTTCAACATCATCTATTCTTTTAAGTATAGTTTCTCATTGGCAGCTGGACTCCTTTTCTGCTTGTGATTTAGTTGATAACTTTTCCTTGAAAAAAGTTTTCAAGCTGACTGATGGTCTGCTATCATCTTTGATTGAAGTAGCCAGATGTTTAGACTGGGGATTTTGTTAATCTCCTTCTTTTTCTCCCCTTTTTGGACATTGTTGAAATATTTTGTGGTGCTAATTGTTGAATTATCTTGCAGCTCCTGTACACAGCAGGTGGCTCAGAGTTCTCTTATGTAGCTGGAGGATTCACGCCTTACTCCCAGCAGAGGTTCAGGATCACTGCATGTAACAGTGTGGGCTGTGTGGACAGTGCTGAGGGGAGGGGCACCACACTTCCTGAAGGTGAGTGTGGATTTGGTTCTGATTTATCATGATCTTTCCTTTGAAAGTTTATGGGTTAAGTTGAGGATCAAACTTATGTAGAAATATTTGTCTATTTTAGTTTGTTTTAAAGTTATGGAATCTGTTAGCAGCTTTAATGAAAAGGAAAAGACAATTGAACTGTCATATTCAGGGTGTTATGAAATGATGTTGTTATTCTATTAAACTCCCACAGCCCCAAGTGGTCAAGCCCCTGCCATTGCTGACGGTTATAACTCCTCTGTTGTGACCGTTACCTGGTCACCCCCCGCACAGCTGAATGGACCAGCCCCTAACTACGAGCTGCGCCGGTTGCCATCCTCCTTCTCCACATCTCCTCCCCAGGTGTTCAAAGGGACGTACTTCCCCGGGGCGGGGTACAGGAGGTTTCCTGGTACACTACTGCCTGCAAACGCTGCATTCACAGGTGAGTTAACAGGTCTTAATTGATAGCAAAGATGTGACCTCTTATGCTATTCTGGTGCAGCTTTCAGGAATTTTCCCTGGACCCAATTGCTTAAAATGCTGCCCTAACAAGGCTGCGCTCTGAGAATGTTTGCAGGATAGCCAAGAAATAAGTGTTAAATGACAAGTAGTTTCCACAGGTTGGACAAGCTGTGTTAAAGAGATATTATCATACTAGTCCTTAGTATACAGAATTATTTTTCAAGTAGCATACTCTTTATGAATGCTGTCATTACAGAAGAATCCCCACTACTTGGGAAAGGTACTGTCTTTGCAGATCTTTAGGATTTAAGGAACTAAATTAAATGTCTTACTTTTCTTCCAATTGTCACTACTCTTGTTACAGGTATCAGACTGTCCTTCAAGACTGCCCACCCCGATGGACTGATACTGTTTGCAGTATCATCTGACACAGCACAGAGCGAGTACCTTGTCATACAGCTGGTGAACGGTCGGCCGTGGTTCCTGTTTGATGTGCAGGTTAGTGACCCTGCTGCTGTGTACCTTTCTAGGAATAGAGCTGAAAGCAAAGGTCTGGAGCAGATACCATTTGAATCCAGATGTTTGATAATGGAATTACACCTTTTTATGATAAACATAATGGATATGGTAGAGCTTGGACTGAATTTTATTTACAAGGATATTCTACAGCATGTTTTTGTTCTACTCAGGATGCATCAACTGCTGTAACAACCACAAATGATGCAGGTAGACGGTATGATGATGGCCAGTGGCACGAGTTGGAGGCATTCCGAAACCAAAGAGTTGGAACACTGACTGTAGATGGTTATGAAGGTGAGGGAGTATTTTGTACATAACAGGGTCAATGTTGTCACAAATGGATTTCCTTTTTACTCATATGCAATTTCACAATGAATTGCATTGTACAAATAAACAGACTTGAAATAAATAGACAACTTTTTATTTCAGGAACTGCAACATCCTCAGGAACCTCCAATATCATCGGCAGCATGACTCACCTGTACCTAGGGGGCATTCCTCCAGACTTCCAGTTGGTGAGGACTGACACAGGTGGGTGGCCATGTTATGGAATCCAATGTGTGAAGTGGGGTATCTTTTATTAACTGTACTCCATTTGTAAAGAACCACTGTCCTTGCAGGCAGGAGATGAGTTACAAGAACTCAGACACAAGAGCTCAGACTGAAGGCAAAGTCTGTAGCAGATGCCATTTGACCCCAGATGTTTGATAATGGCCTTATATATCTCCTACAGGAGACAGGGAGACCAGCCGTGTGGGATACCTGGGCTGTTTGAAGGATGTCACCATCCTGTCCTCCATCTCTCCTTCCTTTACCTGGACACCTGTAGACTGGACCCAGGCAACGGGAAGTGCCAATGTCCCTGCATACTGGGAGGGCTGTGTCTCTGGACTACAGTCAGGGGTACACTTTAAAGGAAGAGGCAAGTGTTATTAATAACAATATACTGTAAGATTATACTCTAAAGGTGAAAATTGCATCAAGAAAGATTCTGATATGTACACCTGTTTAATGCATTGAAGGCTAAGTTGCTTTGGCAGGTATTTTGGGATGTATAGAATGGTTAGTGTAATCCTAACCTGACACTAAGTGTCTTGAAATGCAAAAAGGACAAGCTTGATCAATGCACTGATCAATGGAAAATGTTTGTTTTACCATCAGGTTACATCAAGCTACCGACCGGAACATTTTCTGGAGGCGCAAACTTTGATGTGAGTTTCCAGTTCCGCACAGAGATCCTGACAGGACTGATGCTGTTCTCCTTTGGCAGCACTGGGGACAGCTACCTGGTGGTGGAGCTGAACATGGGAAGTCTACAGGTATGGGGAATTAAGTCCTGTTAGTAATTAAACTTAAGCCTCTACCTGTCACATGACATTTAGCTTGTCCAAGTGTAAGACAACTGTGTAGCTGTGGTAATGAAAGTCATGTTCTCTTCACTTGATTTTTGACAGAAAGTCTAATCAAGAGTACTGTATTAAGGAGAAAAAAATAACTTACTGATGTTCATTTTTTGCAGGTTGAAGTTGCCTCAGGTGCAACCAGTATCCGTGCGGAGACCACACCCTCAGATGTGTTCAGACTATGTGACGGTGCCTGGCACACTGTGACTATAGAAAAGAATGCTGGTACCATCAGCATAGACATAGACAGTGGTAATATCACAGCAACAAGGACTGGCTCATCCTTCACAGTAGCTCTAGACTCACACTTGTACGTTGGAGGGTTGCCAGTGGAGGGAGAGGCTGCTCAGGTTGTCTCAACCAAGAATCTGGATCTCCAGCCAGGTAAGTACCACATGTGTGCCCTGTATACTTGCCATTTTTAAGGCATCAACTGCATGTTTGCACGGCATTTCAATTTATGAAATTGAATGTTTCCCAATGTCTTAAGCTCTGCTGTTGCCCTACCAGGTTTTGGAGGTTGCCTGAAGGAGCTGAGTTTTAACAGTGGTGCTGCAGTAAACTTCATCCTTCCTGACTTGGAGGTGGCCAATGTTGCTTTGGACGGGTGCCCGCCGGATAGGTCCATGAGGGTGTGCATGAGTGACACTACCAGCCAGCTATACACGGGTCAGGCACTCAGCTTCCTGGACACTACTGGACTGTTACCATTCACCGGTAAGCTATAACATGTATGGGGTACAATATTTGACAAGTCACTATTATAATAATAATTCTCAGCTCAGTTAAATACACTTCAGATACATATGCACTATCATGAAAGGTTGGACTGTTCCATTTAATTTGTTAATCGTATAACATTTAACGTTCTTGATTGATACCAAAAGTTCAGTGATACTGGCTGTATTTTTAATTTATTGGTGTATCTTTTTATGTTTCTTACAGCGTACCTATACCAGGTGATCAGTAGCAACCCAGCTGGCTCAACTCTCAGCCAGTGGAGCTCTGGGAGGACACGAGAAGGAGGTAAGGGAGTATACTAGTAACATGAATAGTAAGGCAGTTGTTTCCTGCTTTTACTTTTATTCTCACAGTCATATCCATGCAACAGTATCTTTACATCATACTGATTCATCATTCTTGATCGTTGCAAGACCATGTTAGAAAGTCTGGCTGCCTGTGTTCATTCTTTTACAAAGCATGCACTGAAACTTGATCATTCCTTGCTTCCCTGTCCTACAGCTCCTACAGGACTGGTGGCCCTGAATGACCCTGTGGATTACAGTGGGTATGTTGTGGGCATCAGATGGCAGCACCCCTCTGGGAATAGTGGTGTGATCCAACAGTATACCCTCAGGGCTTACAACCTAGACAGGCCTGAATATGCTCCAGTAGACACCAACATCACTGACTCTGAGCTGACGCAAGGTGAGTGGCTATCTTCATCGTAACAAACTTTAAATGAGGATTATAGAACAATGGTTGCTCTCCTTGGTGCTGAAATGTGACAACACTAAATGCATTTATTTTTCTTGTTTAAGATGACTTTTAACTAAATAATTACTAATTTCATTATAGTAGATTTATATTACTTCTGCTACACCCCGTAGATATACTAGTTTCATGGGATATTTATCCTAAAATCTTTCTTTGTTAAGACAAACACTTATCCTGTGGCCAGGATGGTCTTCTGGTGATCTTTCATCTTGCTGTCTTATCTACATTTGTAGGAAAATTAGTTCAGTACATAAAAATCAGCAGATGAGAAAATATCCTCTGTCCTGTTTTCCACAGGGAACATGACAAACCTGATCCCCTTCACCAACTATGACCTCCGCCTGGTGGCCAGTACAGAGGGAGGCAGCACTGAGGGGCCAGGACTCAGGCACAGAACTGTACAGGAAGGTAGGATACATCCATCATGGCATTTAATGTTTCACTAAAACAATTGGAATCTGATACTACCGTTTAAGTGTTTCTGTAAATTTTGAACTGAATGTCACTCCCCCACCAAAACTAATCAAGACCAAAATCACTGCCAACTCCACAGCCTGTGTCAGGAGAAATGACATCACTACTTCCTGCAATAGTGGATCAAAGGTGCCCAGAAGTCTGTCCCAATTGAGCAATGTTTCTGTAACAAAGGGTAACTAGTTAACAAAGTATGAAGCTAAACTTTTCAATTTTGTGTTTATTTGCATCTATTTTGGTACTGTTACAGTTCCCGACGACGTTAGCCCACCGTATGCAACAGCCACCTCAGCCACAGAGCTGACTTTAAGGTGGGAGGAGCCAGACCGACCTAATGGTCTCATCCAGGGCTACAACCTCTTCAGGGATGGCTCTCCTATCAGCAGAAGTGACAACTTACTCCGAGTCCATACTGTCACTGGGCTGACAGTCTTCACAACATACCGCTTCATGGTGGAGGCCTGTAATGCCAAGGGGTGTACCCAGAGTCCTGAGGCTGTTATAACCACCTCACAGCTCTCACCCTCCCGCATGGACCCTCCCACGCTTCAGGTCCGAGGGGCAAAGGAGATATTTGCAGAGTAAGTTTTGGATTACAGACTCCATCAGACATTTCTTTTTGTCCGTTTGCCTTAGAATTTCTATCCATCTCAGGTTGTTCTAGCATATGTACTTATTTATATCCTGTCACTTTGATGTTTACTGACAATATCACACAAACCAATTTTGAGTCCAGATTTGATTGTTGATTATGATATTTTAGAAAAGAACAAAGTTAGGTTTTATCATGTACAACATAGCAATCATTATACATTTTAGAAAGCTATCTTTGTATCTCACCTGTCCTGAACGTTTACATGTATATGGATTCTAAAAAGATTACCCTGTTACCAGGTGGATCGAGCCTTTGGAGCTGAATGGCATCCTGGAGAGGTACATAGTGTACAGGTCTGAGGTACAGGCTGATCTAGGAGAGGTGGTGTACAACAGTACAGCCACTGCCTTCAGGGACTACACTCTTACCAACCTGACTGGTGGGACAACATTACTACATCAGGGTGGCAGTAAGTACTACATTCTATTTTACACCTGCCTGTAGACTACAGTGCAGGGATGTGTTTTGTCTACTGGCAAACCGTTAATGCACAAATACTGACTATACTGAGTCGCTTCTACCTGTATCTCTGCATCAGCTTGTGAGTAAGAAATCTCCATCTGTCCGCAGGCATGTACAGGGGAGGGCTGTAGAACCACGTGCTCCATCTGTAGCCACTACAGAGGAGAGTGCGCCGGAGGGGGTTCCAGCACCAACAGTGGAGTCTGACAGTCCTTCACACATCAGAGCCTCCTGGGGGCCACCCAGGATACCTAACGGTAAGTCAGTTGTAGAATACAGTCAGTGATACTGATGGGCATTGTCATTTAGCCTTAGTGCTAGGAATAGATCAAGGTTGTTGATTTGAAGTGTCTACTGAGATCATATTGCTAGTTAAAGGTCAATAAACTATGCTATCATCCTTCATTTCAGGTGTGATCATCAGCTATGCGCTGTACATGAATGATGTTCCAGTACAGAACACATCCAACCTGATGATGTATGAGGCAGACGGCCTGTCAGCGTGGAGTTTACACTACTTCCAGGTCCAGGCATGCACAGCAAGGGGATGTGGGCTGGGACCAAAGGTATGGAGAACTAGTGCCATACTTCTATATGTAAATATGCAATGTATTTTAAGTTTGAGCATTGTTGGAGTCAAACTAAATGCAATAAGGATTCATTGTACAAATGTATGTGACCATGTATAGACCATATAACGAGTTTCTGTATCCTTGACTTAACAATCCACATACATTACAGTGACTTCTTTGCTTGTTTAATGGGAACCTGAAAAGTTAGTCATACTTGTTAAGGTGTAGATATACCTCTGATTCTTGTTGTGCTAACAGGTCAGTGGCAGGACACAAGAGGCTGCCCCAGAGGGAACCGTGACCCTGGAGATCTCAGTACTGGACAGTAGGTCTGTCCGAGCACGTTGGAGTGGCGTCGGCCGACCGAATGGGAATGTGTCATACAGCGTGCAGTTTACTGGGATCTACTACAGGGACCCGGGTAAGCAAGTTTGAAGAGTGATGTTCTTTTTGCTGTCATAGGGCTACAGATCACTACCGGTATTGTCCTTGTCCATAATGTTAATGAAAAATGTAAATACACAAAACATTTAGAATTTATAGTTTTGTCACAGGCTTCTAGCACATGTTTCTGGAACATGTTTTGTTTTGTCCAACAGACAGATTTTGGTACTTAAATTTTGGATGCTGCACAAGACTGCATGTCACTGTCTGGAGAATTACAATTTTGTCATGATGTTGTGCTTTTTATAGTACTCATTGTTCACAAATCTTTGTTTTCACACTGTGTTACTTGGTGCCATTCTTACAGATAACTGGGACTACACCACAGTGAGAGACACCCGGTCTCTGTACATCAGCCTGGTAACTGATGAGTGGGTGACCATCCCAGGCCTCATCCCCTACTCCACATACACTGTACAGGTCAACGCTTCCAACACAAAGGGCTCCATTCTTAGCAACACTCGTGCAGCTACAATGCCACAAGGAGGTAAAATAATTTCCAAATGACAGGAGGCTTTATTCTAATAAGGAAGCTTAGCAAAGTTGAACAGCTTCAGCCTGGCATGCATTGGCAAGTTACATTGTTACATTTTACAAGTTACATTTGTGAGCATGCCCCTACTGTATTTGGTGACAGAGATCCCCTCTCAACAATATTTCTCAGAAACAAACAAGTCTCTCCCTTTGTTTCAGCTCCTGATGGAGTTCGCCCCCCCACCCTGGAGGCAGCATCTGCCACGTCCATCCGAGCCACCTGGGATGCAGTCGGCAGGAACAATGCACCTGGCAATGCAGACTACAGGTTGGAGTACAGGCAAGCAGGCAGCAACAGTGGGCAAATGTAAGTTAGACCAGATCAAAACCTTCTTTCTTCTCCTAGCCATGAGAATGCAAGTGTGCAAGAGTAATACTGGTGATAAAAGCCTTGATTCTATATAGATTATGTGGGCTGACAACTATCTCTGTGGAGTGAGCTGAATCACAGGAGCAATCAATATTTGAGACAAACATGTCAGGAGACTTGTGCTCTGTCATCTGATATGCTCAGGTCAGGGGACTGCTACAGTACCTGGGGTGACAAATTACCTACCATGTTTCTAATAACCTGCCTATACATTTTCTGCTTGACTACTGTAACTACTGTAACTGTATGTATGTGGCGTCAAGATAGAAGGGCAGTGAAGTTTCGAAACAAAATAGTGCAGTTGTGTAATGTATTAAGAGCACACAAAGCTATCTGCTTTCCAATGGAGAGGAGACTACAGTATCTGTCCTTGGTGCTGAAATACACCAAAACTAACTGCTGGCATGTATTGATCTGAAAGCAATTAAAGAGCACCGGGCTAGTATTTTGAAACACGACTTGGTAGTTCAGGGGACCTGAATATGTTATAGAATATCCCCACCATTTTTCTATTGAAGTTGTTTATCTTTATTTCACCCCAGGGAAATGTAGTATTATTTTTGCTTGTCTGTCTGTGTCTTTGATTCCCAATATACAAATTGCAGAATTTCCATATATCTTCAGTGCTGCTATACTTTCAATATGTGAAGAAGGAGAAGAAATTCAGAATAGGATTTATTGAATATTGGATTTGTATAGGGAAAAGTGAGAACTAAGATGGGCCAGTATGAGCATTGATCAGAGTCCTGCAGGCAGCATTAATCTATATTGATTTTTTTTTTTATGATTGAGTGCTAGACTTTAATGGTGTATGTGAAAATGGTCAAAGTTTGCACACTTCATGCCTGAAAAGGCAGGGTTCACTCCAACCTCCTGAAGGTCATTTCTATTCCCCACTTCGCCATATGTCACAGTAGGTCTCCTGCTGCTTGGCCATTTACAACATTGTCAGCTGTTCTTATAAATGAGGCCACGGTGACCTCAAGTGCTTTTGTTACTCTCAGGTTCTCATGATTGAGTGTAGACTAAAAGTTTTAAATGGGAGAATTACATCCCTGGCATCTGTAGCAGTATTTTTCCTTTCCAGGATTATGCAGAATGGCAGAAGCAGTTAAGTCAGGGCTGTAAATTAGATTTTCACAATTCATTTGATACTATGGTATTAGAAACCCAGAAAAAGACAGAAACCTGGAGATAACATGTATTTATTCCTCCTCTGGAAAAGTCAATATCTCCATTTTCTGAGGCTTGTTTGATTCAGATTAGGTAAAAATGTGCAATATAATTTGCTGGATCTATATAATATTATATGCTAGGTGTGTTGAAATTATATGTCTTTGATTAAAGGTTGTTCTTTGTGGGGCAGATGTGAGACAGGGAAATCTACAGGGCACCTGTCCAAATCTGCAATTAATATTGTATCATAACAGCACGTCTGAATCTCCAGTTGTTTATATACAGACTGTCAGGCAGAATAAGTATGAAATCTGGCACAATCCCAAATCATTTGTTAGTTTGAGGTCAACTGTTTCTGAGAGAGTCCTCAGTAAGCAAGTTGGACTTACTGTTTTCATTGGTTTCCAATAGTGCACTTTCAGGTTGCAGCCGTGGTTATGATAAATGTGGATTTTTCATATCATCGTCCTATTAATGCCCACAGCTGTATTTGGTTAGAGACTGAAAAGCATTTAAGCTCCATGATCAATAATGAAATAATCAATGTGGGAAGTGCATGGAGTGCAATACACAAGTGTTAAGACTATGACTTCAGGGACTATTATAGATTCCTTTGTTAGTTGTCTAACCAATAAGGAAGGCAGGGAAACAGCATTAATGTTTAGATTTATGATATTGATAACCTATGCAAGTCAATTTAATACTCCACATTACTGGCATTTTGGATGATAAATCACTTTGTGGGAAAATTAATCATAGGTGATCAATGACAGTCGTTTGCCACATGTGGTGCACTCTGTCATACATCAGTCATATGATTGTTCCTGACCAGTTTGTCATTTGTTTTTGGAATTTTTAACTTAATCCATACGCTAGTACATTGTTTAGGCCAGTACCATGTGGGCCTCTATTCTAGGCAATTATTAAAAACTGCAAGCCCTTAAAATGTTGACTTCTATAAATGGCATTTGAAGATTGAGCACACTTAGAATGCCAAGGTAGAGCACCAGAACTACATTACTCAGGCCAACATGCAAGCTTTAAGCCTGCAGAAGCAGCTGGTGGAAATGCAATAGTCAAACAGCTCAGAAGACAGATGTCAGAAACATGTACAAATAGGCTGCTTACTTTGGCTTTCCTGGATCTTTGTGAAAGGATCTCTGGGCGTTTCTTTTAATGTAGATACTTAATTTATAATCTCCTGCATCTGTTGTTCAGTAAATACTTATGTCTAAGCTCTCTTACTGTTAGACAGTGAAGTAGTAGCACAGCTTGAGTCAAGACCACTTTGTGCCGATGCACAATGCACAAAGTCCTAGTGCTTGCCCTGCCATGTCAATTTTCGAGTACATTCCAATGTGGAAAAAAGGCACATTTTCAAGGAATGCATGTGACAGCTTGCCATGAAATATTCTTTTGGATCAAGATTTCATGTTTGTTTGTTACAAAATCTATGATGAAATTGACAGTCTTCATTAATTTATATTGGGGAAAGAATGTAATCACACTGGTCATCTGATGATCTTAAACTCATAACATGAACATGTCTAGGAATGCTTTTTCTGATTTAAGATGTAATCTTTGGCAATCATGTTTGAATGGATGTTTGGCCCAAACACAATCAATGTACCAAATTTAGACAATAGGACATCTTCTACCATAATTGTCTCTCTCTGTGTACCATCACCTAATTTTGCCAAACAGGCCATGAATGAGCTGTCATATTCAGGAATGTGTTTTGAAATTTATGACTATATTTGGCATAAATATGTGAGTGCAAGAATTGACAGTATAAGCATGTAGAGAGATAATCGACAAACCTAATCCCTGCCCTGTCCAACTCACCATGGGGAGAGTCAGAAGGTCAGCAGTCTATAATAAGTTTGAAAGGTCCAAATTAAAGTATGGATACAATGCCGTAAGGCATACATAGATCTTTATACCTTTATCCATTGCTGCAAATAGAGGTGAGAAGCAAAGTCAATGCTGTATAAATGCCAGCGGTGTTGATCTTAATACCTGGTGGGCTTGCAGCGTCAGGTGTTTGGATGAAGCTGACATTTTCTTCCAAAGTGGGACACCTTATCTTCTGCCAGGGCTGATCATACCATGGCACTAGGTCCTTGTTCACATGTCTGAATCCTGTACTGAATTCACAAACACCATCAGCTTGTTTCCTGTAGTAATGGAGAAGCAATGGCAAGCTTTAGCCTCCTTAAATGTAAATGAGTATGTCGGGAAATGTAATCTCACCAGGACATCAGAGAGTGACTTGAATCCCCAATTTGTCGTGGCGTAACTATCAGCAGATTCATCCCTGATATGCTTATCTATGGTCGGAGGCAGCAGGACCAACTGAGATCCTTGATTGACTGAGTACTTCCTGACCCAATTCCTGTACCTCCCCCGCCTTGATGTGTTAGTGGCCATCTGCATAGCTGAACGATAGCAGTTCTGCTGAGTGTGTAAAGACCTGAACTATTCTGAAATGGAGGAGGAAGCATTGGTATCATCCATCATGGTCATACACCTGTAGGTGAGTTGCCATTAACCAGGGCTGGTGGTCATGCCCCATCACCACTGCTCTTATTGCCACCAGCCTCCATAGTCCCAATTGATTGGTAACAGCTGTCCACGTCCGGGGATATTTATGCTCCGCTTTCTATTGAATTATTAACAAGACTGCTGATCTTGGCGATTCTGGGCATGATTTCCTGATGCAATCAACACTTTTGTTTGCTGGGAGGCAGCAGTCACAATGTGTGTGGCTCTCGGTGGTGCAGGTTGCCTGTCAGCTGCCTGCAGAGCGGCAACTTGCCTCTCAACACCATGTCTTCTTTCAAAGTTTCCCTCTCGTTTGCGGTGACTCTGGTCTTTGTGTTGGTGCTGTTCTTTCTCCGCCTGTATTCTTTTCTGAAGACACAAGTCATTGTGCCTGAACTGGTCTCTAATTCTACTGATGCTTGGTGGATGGTCAAGGGAGCGGGGGTAACCAACAGGTAAAATGACGATTGTAATTTCATTACTCCAATGAACGGATGCTTTGGAGTACTTTAATTTCTGCAGGTTGAGATTCCGATGGATGTAGACTCTTGTATGCCCTTGTTACCCTGTTTAGGGATCATTTTGGTTCTTTAAGTAACTATGATGTTTTGCGTTTTCTTAACCATCATTAAACTGAAATGGCTTACTTAATGCATGGGCTTGGCATGATTGTTTTCCTTGAAAAGTCATAAGAAAATGGTTGTTTACCTTTCCTGATTTTACAACATTTCTTTGTCTACAGTAGTTGAATGCTTGAAGGCTTTTGAATACTTGAAGGTATTTATACCAAACACTTCTGACATTGTGATATGTACTATTCTTTTTTTCTCTTCTTGCCCACATACAGTTTTTTTGGACCATCCACATCCAGGAGTCACACCCAGACAGGTCTGAGACCTTACACGGAGTATGAATTCAGGGTGATCGCAGGAAACAACTATGGCCAAACAGAGAGTGAATGGGCGGCACAGTTCACCGCAGGGGACCGTAAGTTCAATCCACCTCATATCTGTGGTATACACAGGTCTTCCAGGGTATTGTCAAGGAAAAGTAATACTTGAAAAGTCCTTACTAAAATGATTTTGGGAGAAAAATAGAATATTTATTTTGATAGTTGGAGAGGGAGAAAACAGTAATTCCTGTAATTTGGGCATGGTTGATTCAGAAAAAAACCCACTTTATTAGCCAGTGCCTCATCAGTCCAGGACAACTTGGAGCAGATTGTTTTATGGCTGAGGGCCAAAGGTTCTCAACATTATTAATGTTTTTAAGCCAATGCAAGAATGGGTGCAGCAGGTGGCCATGTGAATATTGTATTTAACACCACAGATTATAGACGATGTCAGCAGCAAGTCAGCTATAAATGTCAGCCTCACACATTGATTAATGTTTTAATTAGCCCTACCTGATATGCTTAATTGGTCTTATCACTGTAAACACTTCAGACATCATGGCTCTCAGTAATGATTCATAAGTTTTAATCAGGAAATCAGGATCTGTAGAATGAATTTGTTGCAACTGACTATGCCATGTTCATGGACTTCTTTTGTTGACAGACATATACTAAAGAATCAGAGTCAAGAGTTTGATTCTGGCTCTTACAAAGTCATGTTTCTTACCAAAAGCCAATATCATACATATTCTACATAAATTATTGGCTGTTCCTCACTTTTGTTTCTAATTTATTCTCAGGCCCTGGTTCCGTCGATGCTCCCCTGGTGGAAGTGATTGATGCCTACACCCTACATGTGACCTGGGAGCGTCCTGCAGAGCCCAATGGCATCCTGACAGAGTACAGACTGTACCAGAACAGTGCACGACAAGTTACAGTGAGTTCAGCATACCTATTCAGGCTCCAGAGCAAGCATGTAATTCTGGTTTGCCATCAGGGGAGGCTACTGAAGAATGTTGATTTTTGAGTCCAGTTTATGTTACATTGCATAGCCATTAATGGCCATTACCTATCAGTAAAGTATAATCCAGATGAAAGAATCGACACACTCCTGTGTTTTGTTAAATGGATTGCTTATCTGACCAGTGGCAGCTGGACAGGTCTTCCTCTTATGAGCAGGCTTCTATGTGGGTGAAAGGTGGTCCATGGAAGGGAACCTTGACATTAATACCAGCTATTCCTCAGTAATGTGCCCATTCTCTTCTCTTTGGTGCATCTGTTGCATGAGCAGTTGTGCTAGGAAATAGCCACCAGTCTCTCTGGTTTTTATACATGTATGTATAAAGTGGCAATATTTCATGTAGTCTTCAGCAGTATATATTTAAGATTTTTTGTCAGATTTTGTGAGATAGCTAGCTTACCAATATCATAATAAGCATCATTGAAGAGCAAATGGCTGTATAAATTCTTGTTTCCAAAGAAATTTATTCAGGGATTAGTTAAAACCTCATTATGTTCATTTGAGAAGGCTGCGTTGCTGTCCTTGGTGCTGAAATAGGGATTGCAGTATTTTAGGTATATGTCAAATGTGTGAATTTATGGTTTCCTTGGATTCTGTATTAC